TTTATAAATGTCAAATATATTTTTGTATTAGATTGTGCCTATGATGAGAGAAATCTTTACTGTATATTTTATGTATGCTGAACACAGTTTTATAATTTGACACATTTGGAGGCGTAGTCTAGTAATAATACTGTAATATGTACCTTGCTGGTTAATATAAGAGTTTACCTTTATTGGGTTAGGCTTCTTTTTTTTTTAAATTTTAGCACATAATAGCTAAGTCTTCTACTGAGAAAGAATTATAACTTTTAGTTGTCGTGGATAGTTAGAATATTTATTGTCGCTTTGTTGTATAAGTCATTTATTGAATTTGCACTTTGATACTTCTGCCAACTAAAATTAAAGGACAGTGTATCTCTGATTTTTAAAACATACATGTGTACACACACATACACACACATATTTCCTTTGCTGTGTAAACTTTTCTAGTTGATTTCTTCCTTAAATAGATCGTGGTAAAAAATATTCAAATATGACTTTATGCCATGAAGATATACGTTCACAAAGTCATGATGTACTGTTTTGGTTTTTGTGGGTGATATATTTGTAGAAAGCAAATTGTTAAACCCAGGTTGTCCAAGAAGATATATAGTAGGAGCAGATGATTTAGAAGCTAGGAAGAGGAAATGCAGAAAAAAGAAAAGGACAGGTGAAGCAAGAGAATAGAACGTCATCCACAACAGATGTGTCCCTTCCGCAGTAATGTGTGCAAAAATCATCACAGCACAGTTTAACTGGCTTTCTTGTAAAAACCAGCACGTCGGCCGAGCCCTATCACATAATTGACTTGGGTATGAAATAGAAGTAACATACCTGTAACCTAGGTGACTAGGTAATGAGTAATTGCTTCTCCCACAGGCCAGTGGTTCTCAATTGTGTAACCAGATTAACCCTATTCTCAAGAGATTCCCATTCAATAGGTTCCAGGTAGGGCTTGGCATTTTTAGCCAGTTCTGGGATGATTCTAATGCTGGTGGTCTGGATTACAGAAACATTGCCCTAGGCCTTCTTTTAAATCTGAAGAGTCAAAAACAAATGGAAGTATATAGCAAGGTTAAGCTCAGTCACGGAGCATGTATTATGGGCCACTGAGGCAATGCTTCAAACCCACTGACTTTCTAAAGTAGGAGATTTCTGAGCGTAGTTTCAAAGGATAAGTTGCAGTCAGGTGAAAACAATGGCTGGAAGCACATCCCAGGTCTTGGACCTGATGAGCAAAAACACAGAAACAGCATGTGTGTTCAAGTTTCTGGAGAGTCAAGTGAGAACCAAATGATGAGAGATGAGCTAGGAGAGGTACACAGAGGCCACATCAAGAAACTTGAACTTCCCAAGTGTAAGTTTTTGGGGTGTAAGGAGGGGGGCAGTAGAAAACAAGGTAGATTAGAATTTTAGTTAGATCACTAATGACCAAAAGAGAAATGAACACAAAGACAGAAAGATTGTGAAACCATATCAAATCATTAAGAATTCAGGAAATCAAAGTGGAAAATATGGTTTGAAAATTCTTGGTCAAATATTTCCAGTGTAAAGATTTGCATTTCAGATTGACTCAGACAAAACAGTTGAAGAAATAAGAGTTAAGACTTGTCTTCTGAGTTACAGGTGTTTCTGCAGAATTACAGGTGTTTCTGCATAAACCTGACCCCTAACAGGTGTTCGAGATGACCTACCAAGTTTAGGCGAAACAACTATCAATGTCTTCAATTCCAAAAGACACCAGAGGTGAGGTCTCTGTTTGTACTTAAAATGTTTAGTAGCTCAGTTCATTACATCTTTGACAGTTAAATGAATTATAAACCAAACCTTATCAAAAATCATGACAGCCTTATCTCACTTGTATTTACCCTAAGGGGGCTGGAGGCATGTGAAGAAGGATAACAGATATACTGTCTACAGACCTATCAACACACTCAAAGTCTAAAAGAGCATCTTTCCCTTTTAAGTATATCATCTTCACAAGAAGAGGGAACTTGTCTGGATGTCAGTAATCATTAACTGGATGAATGAGTTGCCCCAGAAAATGCTGTCTGTGGCACGGATGTAGACTGAGGCCTTAACATTGCCTTTTAGTGCAAAGTGTTCCCTAGACCTTTATTTTTTCTGAATTTAAAAAAAGTTTTCCGTATTGGCAGATATATGCTCTAACGATGCTATTTCACGTTTGGTTTACAGTGGTTATTGTTGCCTTTTAAACATTTGAAAATGGATCACAATGATGCCTCGGACTGCGATAATCATGATTATGGTGTTACTTAATGCCCAGCACAATTTTGTGCGCCTAAATAAGGCAGCATTTCTTTAGTCTGGTAAAAATGAGCTGAAGTTGCACACAGTATCCACGGATTTGCAACCTGTGCTGACAGCCTGGTTTGGGGGAATTGCACCTAATCTTAAGTATGGAGAAACAGGAAGCTTCGGGATTAATGTCAAACTCTTAATCCACAGGCGAGTTTCTCAAGAGGAAAAATGCTCTGTTGCATTAAATTATTTACTATGTTTAACAGCGTAGCAGAAATAATTCATCATGGTGATTCGAGAGCAATCATTTAAGGGTAGAATGACTAGTGAGTGTGTGTAAAGGAGGCAGTGACAGCAAAACAGAACTGCCATAATCTGTCTTCCAAACTAACTCTTAGATCGAGCAACCAAAGGAGCGACCACGGACTTGACCTACTCCTGGCCGTTTGGAAACGCCAGTTTCCCTAAATCCGTTGGTTTGTCCTCAGAAAAAGCGAAGCGCGCCTTCGGTTTCCCATTGGCTGGGCTGCCGCCGCCCCGCCTCCTTCCGTGGCTCCCGAAGCCTCCCGCGAGGGGGCGGGGCTTTGTGACGCACGCCCTGACGTCTCCGGGGATATAAAAAGCCCGCTCGGGTCGCACCTGCCTTCAGGAGCCGCCGGCAAGGGGGCCGGGAGGAAGCTCATTAAAGCGTAGCCGGAAAGGAGAAGGTGGGGCGAGTTTGGGGAGAAAAAAAAAAAACCCCAAGCGACGGCTGGGAGGCAGTTGTGCCCTCAGGGCGTCGCGCGCGACCGGAGAGGTGGTCGGAGTCTCAAGTGTTGAGGAAGGCGGAGGGAGGGCCGAGCCCACACCCGCGAGTACGGCGACAGGACAGCCAGCGCCGGTGTGGCCGGGTCCTCGGCAGGGCCTCCCCTGCCTCTCCTGAACTAGTCAACAGCCCGATCTTCCATAGTCTGCTGCTCCTCTCTCCCGAGCAAACCAAACGGCGAAACAGGCACAGACACGGCGGGGCCCGCGAGCCCCGGCCCAGGTCTTTAGGAGGGAGGGGTGCGAGCCGCCTTCCGGTGGCTCCGGAGACCTCGTCGCATCCGCAAAGGCGGCGTTCCCCATGTGGGAGCCAGGGCATGGCTGTCTACAGTTTGGCAGAGGTGGTGGAGGGTTTCAATTTTGTGAGCTTTTGACAAGTGTTCTTGAGAGATCTGGGGGGATTTGTTAAGCTGTCCGCTCTACTTAACCCCAAGGTCTGTATTTGTGACTGTATTCCGCCCGTTGATTTCTCAACTTGTTCAGGGCGGTTCTGCGTTATGGAACTGCGTTGTCGGACGGTCAGCATCCCTGGTTCCCACGCGGTTCCAAAATAGGGGTGACAACTAGTGGGACCCTTGGGATCATGGATGGCATGGCCGCTTTTCTGCAATTCGTAGCACCAGCTGTCCATGGCCACCATGGCTACTGGTAGCCACGTTCAAAATGTCCTATTGGGGCACTTAAAAATTTACATGTTTTTTATAAAATATATGTATGTATAAGTGCTAATGTATGAAATACATGCATATTACCGCCTATGTCCCTTAGCATTTAGCGTGTGGGCCTGCCAGAGCTGCACTTCTGATTTTTTTAAAGATGGTTTAATTCAGTAAAGCTCCTGTTGAATGACACTGTGATAGGAAGTTTTCATTATGGGATTTAATACAGTTGGTTATATTCTCAAAATTCTCAAAGGGTTTCCTTTGGTCAATACAGATTCATTTTGTCCCGGCCTTTGAGAAGAACTGTGCTTTTAAGTATTCATATTTTGCTGTGAGACGTTAGTTGCTTTATGTTAGAAGCTGGCCCCTTTGTATGTAACTACACTGTCCCACTTAGCCCCATGAACTAATTACTCTCTTTACCGTAAGGATGTTGTTGAGGATATGGTTCCTGCTATTCTCTATATAGGGGCCCATGGGAGACAGTTCTCCTGGATTTCAGTGTCCGGAATAGTTGTGTCTCCCAAGCAACTGAATTGTTTTTCATCTCAGGAAACTTGAATCATTTAACCACCGGCTTCCTATTTTGTGATGGCCACTTGGTAGCTCAGGGACCAATTGGATACCTATCTCTTCCAAAGTGAAAGACCAATAGCTTTGCATTGGGATGCTAACTGTACCTACAGCTTTATCCCAATTTTTCCCTTACCAATAAGAGTTTTAAAAAATATTTAACTTTCTTTATTTATAAGGTTTATATAAATTTTTAGGATGAGTCAGAACACATATATACACTGACACAAAGTTAAGCTTGACAACCTCTGCAACTGAGATTATGGGTTGGTCTGTGCAGTACTTTTGGTACCACTTAAACGCTAGAAAGGCGGGAGAAAAGGGAGATGAGGGAAAATTTGGGCAGAGGTTAAAGGAGATTATGAGAAAAGAAAGGTGCAGATGGGATTATAATACCTAAATAACATATCTATTCTGGTTAATGTGAAAAGCAAAATTATTCCTGTATGCATGAGTCAGACCAAAAAAAAAATACATTTTAAGTTAAAAAAATACATACTTAGCCTGAGCCTGCGGGTTCGAGACCCGCCTGGGCAACCTGGCGAGACCTCATCTCTACAATAAATAAAAAATTAGCTGGGCGTGGTAGCGCGTGCCTGTAGTTCCAGCTACTTGGAAGGCTGAGGTGGGAGGATCGCCGGAGCCCAGCAGGTCGAGGCTGCGGTGGCCGGGAGCGGCCACTGCACTCCAGTCTGGGCAACAGAGTGAGACTCCAACTCAAAAAAAAGGAAAAGAAATACATACTTAAAGGTGAGCAAGGCATTTGAGGATATATTTAGAAAAATGAGGAAAAATACATTTTCTTGTAGTTAAAACTGTTTTCCAACTCTTTGATGAATATACGGAGAGAAAAGCCAATGCCTATATGAATTGGAAGGACGTTTGGAAACAGATACATGAACTTTATTTTTCTTTCTTGGCATGTTACATGTTACCGAATTTTATAAAGCGGGTTTTGTTTGTTTGACTTTTTGTTCTTTGTTTTTAATATCATGGGGTCTTGACAGGGCTTTTCCTACGAATTTTTTAATAGTACTAGATTACTTATCTACAAAAGATAAACTATTAGTAGTAGATAGTAGGTAGCTCATTTTACTAGAATAAAATCTAGAGATTAGAACTAAAGCTAATATTTTTAATAGTAGATAGATTTGTTCTTGGAAGCCATAGTTAATGCATTAAAAATATTTTAGTAAAACTACTATTTATGACTGTTTTTCTTCATTATAGTTGAGAAGACAGACATCCTGCCAAAATGATTTCTTCAAAGCCCAGACTTGTCATACCCTATGGCCTCAAGACTCTACTTGAGGGACTCAGCAGAGCCATTCTCAAGAACAGTCCATCAAACATCACTCAGTTTGCAGCAATTTACTTTAAAGAACTTATTACGTTTAGAGAAGGTTTGTTGCTGCTTTAGATTATATATTTGTTGCTTTAAAAAAAAATTTTAAGTTGGGAATTTTGTGTGTCTATTTGATTTCTTGTATTTATTCCTTCAGGGAATCCGTCTTTGGATATAAAAGATCTGGTTAAACAATTTCATGAGATTAGAGGTAAGTGGTCTTCTCCAGCATATCTCAGACACTCTGACATAATGCAGTATATTTGCTTAGAAGAAAGTTGTGTTTTGTGTGTGTATGTGTAAATGGCCAGTGTCTTATGTAAACATGGCAGCATGAAACTGAGTTGAAAGTGAAGCAGTGAAAAAGAGGGGGAGAAATAAGAAAAGTTGCAAAGTTTATAGAGTAAAAATTTGAGATCACTATAAGCAAAAGAAGATATAATGGTCAAATTCCCAAGGACAGGCATACGTGTCTAAAATAATGGCAAGAAAAAGCTTTTCACAAAATTTTGTAAAGAAAAAAAATGACTAGTGTGGGAAATGAATAGTTCTTACTAAATTTGCTGACCAACATTTTGGAATAACCATAGATTAAAAAAAAAAAGGTAGGATTCAGTGAGTTGTCAACCTTTTTTATACTGTTACTTTGGTGATGTTAATAAATAACATAACCAAGGTAGGGAGAAATTAGGAGTGAGTTCTAGGAGAATGTGAAAATCATAAGGGTTTGGATCTGTAGTGAAAGAGACACCCAAAACAGAAAACAAGACTAAGAATAGCAAGGGGCAGACGAATGAAACATCATGGTTCTGGAATATTGTCTAGACTGGCTGCTTCCCTGTGGGACCTCATGGTATTTTCAGTTCGCTATGAGAAACAGATCTGGGACTTGCTTACCATCAGCAGGATATACAGATAAGTGCAAGAATATTAACCACCCATACTCTCCCTATAAGCCTGATTTCCTGGGTAGTCAAGGTTACTATTGTCTGTGTACTTCTATCCTCTGTACCAGGCCCTGTATTTGAAAGTATTGGGAGTGTACAGACTTGCCATCTTTGAAAATAGTGACAGTCAGTGAATCTTTATGCTGGAAGGTAACTAACTGGTAGCTTTTGAGTTTAATTTGTATCCTGAAGAATTTATCCACTATTCATCTTAGCTAGTGGACAGATGTAGATTGTGGTCCTTGTAGGTTAGCGTCTTTGAATTGCAGGGCTCAAAATTAACAGACTAGCAAAATTGGTGGAGCACTTTTAATAGAAATGAACTTTTCTCCTCCAGCAACTGAAGTTATCAAAAAGGTTGACATAGCCTACAGATAACTCTGAAAGCAAGCTCATGGAATAGTTGTAGAAATAGATTGCTCTTTAGGCTGCAGGGTAGAAATGAACATTGCTTGTTACAGTGTCCTGGGAAGATGGGAAGGTATGAACGGAAAATACAGAGTTTAGTGTTACTGTCTCTTATCAGTTTGGCTCACTTGTTTGCTTTTTTATGTTATCCAAAAACTTTCTTTTGAACAAACAATATCCATTAACTTAGGTCCTGTCATAGAGTCTGCATGAGTCTACCTACATCCAGGAAAGCATACTCTGAGCTAAAGAGGGACTATCTAGGGATATACAGGCCATAAGTTTCCCACTTTGTAGGGAATTTCCTCTCCTGAGTGATAGCCTCCTATCTTCTGACTGGTTTAATTCCCTAACTGCTGTTCCTATGGGAGCTCTGGGTAAATATGGTTGCTTGATCGTTCAGTTCTCCATAATAAAAATGTCGGTATAACAGGTGCTATCTTCTCTTTTGTTCAATTAAACTTCCTTTTTGTGGATTCCAGTTTAAAACATGGATGGTGGTACCTATAATACCCTATACACTCTATCTGTTGGCCCCAAGTATTGAGGCCCTCCCAGGCTTTCAATGACTTGCAATATGGGCACATGAACCATTTTTTGAGGATAAGTCAACTGACCCTTATTTTGGCTTGTTAGTCTCTTCAGCATGAAGCTAGATTGGCCTGAAGACAGCACTAGGTATTAGAACTTGATGTGGGCAATAGCCAACTATCATCCCTAGTGTACTGGTGCTCCCTCATCTTCCAGACATCAGATATGAGCATGAAAGATACGTGTTTCATAAGAACACTCAATGGAGATGTTGTATCCTTCAGAGTTATTTCCACACTGGTTGGTTTGCTGCTTAGCAGCATTACCAAGCTGCCTGTATGCATGGAAAGCATGGCAATAAGAACACCTCTCAAGTGTTTTTGCTGAATTTTGTGTGTATGTGTGTGTGTGTGTGTCAGAGTCTCACTTTGTCACCCGGGCTGGAGTGCAGTGGCATGCTCATGGCCACCGCAGCTTTGACCTGCTGGGCTCAGGTGATCCACGTAGTTGGAACTGCAAGCATGTGCCACCATGTCCAGCTAATTTTTTGATTACTGTAGAGACAAGGTCTCACCGTGTTGCCCAGGCTGATCTCGAACCTGTGAGCTAGGTGATTCTCTCACCTTAGCTGCCCAAAGTGCTAGAATTACAGGCATGAGCCACCGCACCTGGCTTGTTGAACATTTAATTCTGGGATTTTTTCTAGAAAGAGCCCCATTTGGGGTAGGCCTCATCATAGAACCACTAGTGTTTACCCATCTTTCCAGTAACTTCAAGATTTCATGCACAGTCAGGTGAAGGAGGAGGATAAGAACCAGACATGGGAACACACTTTTCTCACTTCCTTGCTGTCTCTCATCTTCTTCCCCATTTTCCAGAGCCTCATTTCTTTAGGGTTATCCCTGGCTCTCTCCAGGATCTTCATTGTGTCTTTTCACTCACATATGCCCATTTCTATCTTTTGAAATTATTTTTTGGATCCTCTTCTTGATTTTCTGCAATCTTATTAAACAGATTTTCACTACCATACGAATCAGTGAAACCTCCCCCCTAGCAATCTTTTCATGAGGAGAGTTTCTTCATTAATCCAGGTGAATCTTTAATTGATGGGATTTTAGCAATTATAGCCATGATCTGCTTGCTGATCACTGGGCCCAGTTTCAGTTCCTATTGAAATAGCAGTTATGCATATCTCTGACTATTATATTGAGATATTTATTCCTATCAAGTATTCATAATACTGTCTTGAATTTTTAAATTCTTATGCCAATTCTATTGTTATGCCTTATTTCTATGACTGGTTGGACATGCTTGTAACTATCCATTCATAATTAAGCAAAGAAAGAATATGTGTATATATACACGTTTTTTTTGGGGGGGGGAGTTGGAGTCTCACTCTGTCACCCAGACTGGAGTGCAGTGGCCGCTCCCGGCCACCACAGCCTCAACCTGCTGGGCTCCGGCGATCCTTCCGCCTCAGCCTTCCAAGTAGCCGGAATTACAGGCATGCACTACCATGCCTGGCTTATTTTTAGATTTATTGTAGAGATGAGGTCACATTGCCCAGGCGGGTCTCGAACCCGAGGGCTCAGTCAATCCACTCACCTCAGCCTCCCAAAGCGTGGGATTACAGGCTGAGCCACCGAGCCCAGCTTATATATATATTCTTATCATGAGGCTCTGACACTACTCTGCACCTTTCCTGAGCATTTTTTCAAGCACAGCTATCCTGATTCCTTAAACAGGGTTGAATATTGTACCACAACAACCCTTTCAATTCTCAAAGTCTTGCATTTGCCTAGGCAGGGTGGTAGTTTGTGCCAAATAAGAAATTCTTTGAGCTTAGAAAAAGTTTGATCACCTGGTGATGATGATGGGAGGGACTTAAGTCCTTCCTGCTTTTCCACTGTAGTAAGATTAATTAGTTAAGGGAATCATTTAGATTAAAGAAGACTAAATAAATTATTGCCAAATGGCATAGTTAAGAAATGGGGTCAGAATATCAGACAAGGGGCTAGGGGAGGGGGCTGGGTTGGGAGGCAGATATAGCCAGGCAGTAAAGCTGGCACAGGAAACCAGTGTCAAAGTAAAGGGGAAGAACATCTTGATTTTTAGCTGGGTACCTCACTCTGCTATCCAGAACCTTTGATAGTTCCCTAGTGTCTACAGAATTCAAACTCTTCAGTTTGTGGGGATACTTTGAAAAATATTAAACTAGTGTATTTTGATTTCAGATAACTCCTAATTATTCTTGTTTGTTCTGTTGATCTCTACCCATTGAAGCATTCATTAGCTTTGGGGAAAGAACACTAGAGCTTGGTGCAAGGAAGTCATTATTCAGTTTTAAGTTTTCAAAGTTCATAGTAAGCAAACTCTAATAACACTTCGGAATTTTGCAGGAGTCTGTTTTTGTTGAGTGATGACTCTTGAAATTTCCAGAGCTGGGTTTTGATTTAAGAGCCAAAGCTATCAGAATCAAAGTTTTACTTTACATAAGCAATAGAGGAGGAAAAGAGATAGTGTATAATAAGGTCTGTTCCTGCTGTAAAGGAAAGTGAAATGGAAAGTCCTTTATGGTATTGGTGTTGTGGTGATGGGGTGTAGAAAGAGCTAAAAAGTGCTGTCTGAGGTAGAAACTGGGGATAAGAAAAGTAGGTAAATTATCTGATCAGAATTCACTAAAATATGAGCACTCCAGCCAGGGCGCAGAAGCCTTGCTCTTTGCTTTCCGGGGTGCTGTCTAGAAGAATCCATGTCTCTCAGAGAAACTGTAGTTTGCATGGCACTGCACTTAGTATAACACATGCCACACTCAGCACTTATACTGTAATTGTCAGCTGTCAGGCATTCCATAAATATTTGTTGGATATGAGAATTACATATTGAAACAATAAATTGGAAATAATAGTCATTTCTCAGATGGGCCTGAGATACTATCCTTGATTTCCTATGGCCTGTGTGTGGTTTTTAGTGGTCCTGATATTTTTGAAGTGTCCCAGATGGAGTAATGACTAACAAGGAATCAGAATGGGAAAAGGTGAAGTGATCAGAGGGCTATAGCACATAATATCCATGCTGAGAACAAAATAAAAAGTGTTAGCCAGATGCTACAGAGGACTGGATTAGGAAGGGGATCTGCCCAAACTTGAGAGAGAGAGAAGCCAACAGAACACACTTGTCCACAAAGTGGAAACATTTGAGCAGTAAATGCAGCAATGTCAGAAACCAATGACCAGAGACCAGTTATGCCTCTGCCAGAAGTAATTGAGAGCTAGCAGAAAAGGACAGCATGTGGATCAAAGCTTACCCCGGCACTCAGATTTCC